CATCGGCCTCTGAGGGTCCATCTTGGCCTTAGAGGTCCAACGCCGGCCCATGCCGGTCTTTTAGGGCCTCACACTGACCTCTAAGGGCCCATGCTGGCCTGTAAGGACCCGTCATTAGCCTATGAGGGCATTGTACGGGATTCTGAAGACCTGATGCCAGCCTCTGAGGCCCATCTTGATTTTTGAGGGCCTTCTGCTGGCCTCTGGGGTCCAACACCGGCCCATGCCGGCATTTTAGGGTCCCACACTGACCTCTGAGGGTCCATGCTGTCCTGTAAGGGCCCACATTAGCCTCTGATGGCCCAAGTCGGCATCTAAATGTCTCATCCTGCCCTTTGCAGGCCCTGTACTGGTCTCTGAGGGCCTCAACCCTCACCGGCCGATGGGGGGGGGCGGGTGCCGCCCCTCCATAGTTTTTTTTTTCGCGATAGCTCCGAACACGCCGGTGATAAAGAGCTGAAGCTTTGCATACCTGACCTTTGAATCAAGCCGGATCTTTTGACACCAACCGCATTTTCGGGTCAGATCAGGTCACTGACCCATGTGGTCATAAGTGAACCTCTGCACGGTCTTCAGATGTCGCAACTTCGCAACGCCCTCACTGCCAGAGGAGATTTCACAGGGAAATGAACCTTGGAGGACCTAGTATCCATTAGGAGTCTCACAACTTGTACATCTCTGATTTTTCCTAAGGTCATTTTCGTGACCTCACCATTAGGTATAAGTCAATGGGGATAAAATGAAAACTTTTTTCTGGCGTCGTAAACGATCTTCAACTATCTCAAGCACACTGAATCTTTCATACACTCCTTGCAAGGTTCGATGCGTCACTTTTGCAATGTTGACCTTGCGCGACGTCATTTATGAAGTTATAAGGGTCATATAAGTTTGTCGTCAATAACTACCGATCAAATTGAGCTAGCGAGTCGGGGAAGCCATAAATGGACTCAGGAAGACCTGCCGAATCGAATGATATGCGACATGACCTCCTTCGACCAATTTCGTGACCTGGGGGCGCTGACCTGACCGTGACCCGTGGTCAACACCCTCAGTTTACCTCGCCCAAACAAAAAGTACATCATTCGACGCGCCTGAGAGAGGCGAACACGATGCTGGCAAAATCGCGGCTCTGCGGCCGTTTTTTGCGAACTTATTCACCAAAAACGGAACCGTGCCTTGAGGCACTTGACCTGATCTCAGAGGTCACCGGTTGACCTAGAACCTTAAAATCGGGTATCGATCTCTGCGTCTTGTAACGGCGCACACGCTCGCTTTTCCGTGACGCGCTAGCTCAACCTGGAGCGCAACGGCGAGGGGGGTCGTACCCGCCCCCCGCCCCCTCGGCCGGCGCGTATGTAGAAAACCTATAGGTCCGGTCCGGCGAGGGTTAAACTGGCCTCTGATGCCCCAGACCGACCTCTAAAAGTCCCACACCGGCCTCTGATAGTCAATCAGCCCAGTTGCAGTGATCGCTGATATAAAACCTCTTAAAAACGTTATCATCATCATCATCATCATCAATTGTATTACGTCTAGAGACAAGACAAGCATGGGCATAACAAACATACACAATGCACACAAGACATACGCCAGAAAACATATGCACAATCATACCTACACCAAAACATAGGCATACCAAAAACAACATAACACTATCATATGGGTGGCGCTAATATCATTTGTATTAGTGCCCATGCCTCCCCAGTGTTCTGAGCCAGGAGCCAACTGAGCGAGTCGGTGACTCCACAGGGGGGTCTTGGGGTGTACATAATCTCAGGTGGGATATGACCTCCAGCAACCTGTAGAAGCACACTCATATTGGCCCCACATACGATGAACATAAATCTAACGATAGGCGCGCAGTGTCCCGATGAGGCATCCCCAAGAACAAGAGTGGCCAGGCTGGCAACCAGAATTTGGCGTAGGCGGTGATTTTCGCGGAACGCATCACGGAAGCACGCGATGATGGAGCGACGTAGAGTCTCCTGCACCTTCGGTATGTGCAGAGCAGCGAGCAAAGCTGTGTGGTGGGCTCTGGATGGCAAACGTAAGGCAGCTTTGACTGTTGCTGCTTGCCAGGACTCGAGACGAGAGATGTCGGCGGGTCCCAGAGGGCACAGAGCACAACCAAATAACAGGGTCGGGGATACTATGGCTCGCCAAAGGAAAGCTTTGTCAGGGCCAGGGAGCTGCGAGCTGAACAAACCCGCTCGGGAGAGACCGAAATAGGCGCCTCGTCCACGGGACACGCGTGCATCTACGTGCACTCGGCCCTGAAGGTTCGGGTGCAGCTGAACACCAAGGTGCTCAGTGTATTCCTTACACGCGAGTAACTGGTTGCATAAGTGCCACTCAGGTCGCTGGGCTAAAAGACCAGCACCGAAAATGAAACAGTGACTTTTGGTTGCGCTCGGAACCGGGTTAACAAATTCGAGCCTCCAGCTAACTGAGAATTCTGAAACAGAATCCAATAGCTTTTGCAAGTCAAGTGCGTTCCCCGACATGACTAGGAGGTCATCAGCGTAAGCCACTACTGGGACATGCTTACCACAGACCATTGCACCAAGGCCGGTAGCGTCCAGTTGCTGTATCAGCGGCCTTAAGAAAATATTGGCCAAGCATGGTGACAGAAGCGCACCTTGCCTCACCCCTCGTCGTACGGAAAACGCATCCGATATAGAACCTCCGAACCGAACTCGTGCTGAGAGGTCGCTATACCAGAAGGCTAAAACCAGCCAACTTCGGCGAGATAAGTAGTCTTTAGCCCGAAGTAGGATGCCAGCGTGCCATATTCGGTCAAAGCACTTACGAGCGTCGAGATTAGCGACGAACAGCGGGGATTCGTGCAACAAATAGTGGCCAGCCGCTTCCTGGACGAGTAGCGTTGCCTCTCTGGTGCCCCGGCGCTGAAGGAATCCAAACTGTAGGTCTGAAGGTCGGAAAGAAAGTTGGATTTCCCGAAGAAGCAGCAATTCGAGCAGCTTTGATACCGTGGACACCAAAGAAATTGGTCGGTAGCTATCCGGACAGTTTGGGTCCAAGCTGCTTTTTTTAATAAGTGGGACCACTGTGCTTCGCCGGAAGCTGTACGGTACTCGCATCTCGGCCAGGCTGGCAGATAAGAGGAGAGCGATTATGTCCAGAAGCGTTGGTGAAGAGCCATGGATAAGATGGTCGGCGGTGACACCGTCAGGGCCGGGAGCTGCATTCCTGTTTAGCTCCGTTATAAGGCCCGCTACTTCACGGGCACTTATGATCCTACTGGGACCCGGTGCTTCAAGCGCAGATGTCCTATATGCGTCTACTAACTTATGAACGGTCTCGTGCTCAGCTGCAAGCCCCTCAGAGTCACCGTCCCTGTGCGTGAGGCTGAAGTGGTCAGCAAGATCATCAGCCGAGAGTGTCGCACGAGGGGTAGCTGAGCCTCTCCGCGCTCTCTCAACCTGCCGCCAAAACTGTTTTACGTTACCGTCACGGCGAAACGCTGCCATCAGACGAGCGCTGTCGTCCACCTTGGCTCGTGCGGCTGCGACACGAGCTCGTCGATAATCTCGCCGTGCAGCACGAAAACAGCTGTGAAGCACCGTCAGCTGTGGACGATCTGATTCTACCCACAATCGGTGCCAAAACCGAGCGCGATCACGGGCTGCAGAGACAGCCGGAGTCCACCAAGACTTTGGCGGTTTCCAGCGGCGAGAACAGCCGGACTCGGACGCAGCTCGATGAATAGATGCCGTCAGGTGGCTGTCCAGCTGCTCGACATCCAAGTCTTCCGGATTGCGCAAAACCAGAAGCTGGGCTAGACGTCTACGGTATTCATCGTTCCGAACATCACAGCTCCAGTTTAACACCGTGCGAGCCGGTGAAAATGCACTCCCCGCCGCCTTCTGGCACCGCCTTACTGTGAGGGATAGTGTGCAAATCAGAGGTAAATGTGGGCTCAAGTTATCGATACATGGCTGAATGATGTGGCAAGACTGCAACTGACTAAAAATGAAGTCATGTGGTACTAAGATGTGATCAATGTGTGTCGAATAGCCACCGCGCTCATACGTATAGTCTAGTGACTGACTAAATCTGAACTCCGCCGTTACTAAGTCATGTGCGTCCAGAAGTCGCTGTAACTCGCGGCTAAATGCGTTAAAGCCAAATGCGTTAAAGCCGTTATAGGTCTGGCTGAGCCTAGCTGGGCCGTTTATGCTGATTTTTATAGGTAGGTATATTGAAAAGACTCCCTTTGCACGTTTCACGCTTGCTCGTAATGAAAAAGTTGCTGGATGCCTCTGGAATTTGCATGGGTGCCAACGGCTGCGGAGGACAGGGGAACGCGTCCATCAGTTTAAGTTGATGGACGGGAGTCTCCCTGAAATTCTAACCAATTTTGTTTTTGTTTTTGTCTCGATTTTTTTTTATCTCTGATCATGTTTGCGAAAACAAAGTGGCCGAAATCCGAGGAGAAATCGGATTTTGGGGGTAGGTTAGGTTTTGGACCTCTGGGACCTTGGCCCCCCCACTTTCGAAAACGTTCCTACGCCTATGTGTAGCTGCGAGAGGTCCTCTAGAGACACCCCTTCCTCACTAAGGTCCGGCTATCGCCACAAAGTTGGCCCCATGGAGAGGAGAACATTACAACAAAGTTGGTGCCATAAAAAGTGTCTCCGAACCACAAAGCGTGGTCGGAGGAAGGTGCGAAGCTTGCGATAAGTAATTAGGTCCAATGGAGATGTGGGTACCATACTCGTATGTCTTCGCATTTATATAAGCTGGACCGCATTGGGAGGCGGGCAGAGTTCTACCACAAAGTTGGGCCCCATGGACAGGTGGGCTGAGGGCCCTGCCACGAAGCCAGCCCCTCAGTGATGCAAACGGGGACCTTACCTCAAAGTCGGATCCCTTGGTGATGCGGGCTGGGGTTTTACCACAACGCTGGACCCTCGCTGAGGTGGGCTGGGGTCTTACCACAAAGTCGGGTCCCTCGCTGCGGCGGGCTGGGGTCTTACCACAAAGTTGGGCCCCATGGAGAGTCGCTGGCAGTTGTCGATCTCCTTCATGCACAGCTCGGTGGTCATGTGGTCGTCCGTGGCCTCGTCTCGCACTCCCCATCGCATATCAACCACCTGCAGCACGTGAAAACGGTCGGCAAAGTTTCAATGACAGCTGCCCCGCACTCCCAAGGGCATATCAACTACCTGCGGCACGTGCAAACGGTCGGCAAGGTATCAGTGACAGTTGCATCAGTTTCTGAGCTACTAAGAAATCGCAATATGCACAATTTTACAAATGTTAGATTTCCGAAATGTCACAAGCTGAACAGTGACGCGAAAGTCTGTTTTCTCCGAAGTATGCATTCATAGGCACTTCCATAATCGTATTGTGGGCGCTCAGAAGGCCGCAAAGCGTATAGCATGCGACATTATTTTCCATTGAGATGAAAACCCCGGCAGTCGAATACCACAACGCCCTGCATGACGGCCCTGCATCTTAATTGGTTAATTATTTAGATACGAGTTATACGCCGTTTATTCTTTCCAAACTCATCCAAATTTTCTCATCTTTAAAATTTCCTTGGACTCAATAAAACGTTAAGATAAAACGTCGAAACAAATTTACATACATATATCATATATATTTACGAAACATATTACATACATAACATCAGAGCTGGGCAAGTGCGTTCCTTTAGTGCGTTCCTGCGTTCTTCCGTACGTACGCACCGCCCTTTTTAGGAACGCAAGAACGCAGGAACGCAAAGTTTTTCAAAGGAACGCAAGTAAGAGGAACGCACTACCCGAAATTTTAAAGCGTTCCTGCGTTCTTGCGAACCACCCGAAATATTATATTGCTGCCAATGAACTCTGTGTCAAATGTTTGAATCTCGAGTACGTGTGTTTGCCGGGAGGCGCCACTTGTCGGTCGAATCGAGGAAGGCTTGCTTAGATTTAGTGGTGATATTTACTATTCGATTCGGTTTCAGGCATTAAATGTGTAAAGATTTTTAGTGGTGATGTTTACTATTCGATTCAGTTTCAGGCATTAAATGTGTAAAGTAAATATGATAACTTTTACTATGATACATCTTTTAACTTAACTACATATTGTTTTTAAGCAGGTCGTATTTTTGTTGAAAACCCTACGGATGATATTGGTAAAACGTATTTCAGATATTCGATTCGGAAAAGAGATGTCGAGTTGCTTTTCGGCCCCACGTCGCCATTCTGGGTATTCTGTGATCGATTCGCCCCGTGTTTGGTTGGGCCCGCGCCGCGTGGTTCGGCGATATTTTTGAGGGAGGAACGCAGGAACGCAGGAACGCTGACGCACTGAACGAAAAAAAATTGAGGAACGCTATTCCAGGAACGCACTAACCGCGGCCGGAGGAACGCAGGAACGCTAACGCACTACCGAAAATCGAGGAACGCGCCCAGCTCTGCATAACATATGTACACTGTAATCGACAACTGGGATCTCACCTGAAATTCGAGGCCGTGTCGCTCCCGACAGTAGTCCTTCAGGCGGGGGTAGGCCTCGGCCATCAGGGTGTTCCTCTCCAGGGTGGTGTCTGGAAGGGACCCCGACCGTCGTCAGTCCGTGAAATAAATCATTCATCGAGTGCACATAAATTGCATTCGCTCCGTAAGAATGATGAATGTGATGTTCTAATATGCAGGTACAATAGTGATGCATGACTATGTGCCGTCTCATGGTGTAATTTATGAACCGAATTTATATTCTTTCTTTTTTCTGCTAGAATAAAAAGTTATAAGAATGATGAGACAAGTCTAAAATTAATCCTGCAACTCATGAAAATGCACTCATGTTTAAATGTCAATTTTTTTCATCTAATACATACATAACACATATAACATTATTTGATTCGAGGTACAGCCGTTGTTCCCAAGGGGGAATGGTGTTAGGCTACGCGATCTGTCGCCGGGCTGCCGTATAGCGCTGAGCACGTGGCCTAACAAATCAGGGATGGGGATTCCCCTCCTAAAGTGAGAACAATTGATATGTAAGAGATAAATGAATCAGCAATAATGCAAATCTGTAATAAACCTTGAGCGTTGCTGCATTAACATGACAATAAACGCTGGTTTACCGCTCCCAGAAGCGCACCTAAATTACCTCATCCGTCAACAATTCTTCCACTCCCTGGCGCCTTCAAGGGCAGGGACTTCACCCGAAACATTTCTCTCGTCCAGCTAGCATCCGCCTGTGACCATATCCTTAATAAAACTGGCCAATATGTCAGCGAGCAAGAAATCGTAAGAATTACATCGCCAAGGCAGCAAACTCTATACATACAAACTAGCCGGACGGCGTGCCTAACAACAGGTCAGGCGGTCAGTCGCTCAACTCTGTTGCTCTTCCCCGTGGGATCTTAGCAACTGATCCTTTTGGGAGATAGCCATCACCACTGTCAGAGACGCGCTATTGTCGTCCAGCTGTGGCATCGGGGAACGGCCCGGTTATAGTTCGGGGACAGTCCGATGTAATAGCAGGATGTAATAGTAATAGCAGGACAGTCCGATGTAATAGCACGGTCCGTTTACTTACTGGGGGACGGCCTATTGTGGTAGCTAGGTGCTGAGGGCTGGGTCGGCTGTGGTAAGTGCAAGAGGACGCCGCCGCTGTTCTGTGAGGTTATGACTCACTGATCTGTAAATCTCTGACCTTGAATAGTCTCTGACCTGTGAAGTGGCAACCCTACGACAGGTGCCTGACCCTCTGACCCGTGCCTGATGACCCTCTGACTCGTGCCTGATGACCTTCTGATCCGTGCCAGATGATCTGCTGACCCGTGCATGATGACCCTCTGACTGACCTGTGAGTGATGACCCACTGACCTGTGAATGTGGACGAGGTGAAGATGCGCACAATCTTGGAACTGACGGGCGGCAGGTTCTGCAGACTGCCGGCGAAGATGCGGTCCACGGTGCGGTCGTCCATGGCGGGCCCGGCCGCCGAGGAGCTCGAGCTGCGAGCGGCAAACATGGAACCCTTCATAGCTCACTGGGTGTTTGTACACGCGGGGGCAGCGTGGATGACCTTAGGACAGTCCCCTGGTGCGGCTAAGGAGAGAGTAAGAGGAGCAGAAAGCCGGTGTTTGCAAGGAGATTGTAGGAATCAATTCAGGTTTAATGGCTCGAATAATAAGCGAGGAACTAGGATATGATTGGACAATTTGAGCTAGAGGTAGTAAATATTCCTATAAATGAGACCAGCAGCCTGCTCCGGTTCACAGAGCAGTGAGCACCCTTCACGCCTATGTGACCGTTTCAGAGACTGACCACACACCGCCAGGGCCCACCACGTGGCATCTCATTTCATTTGCAAACGATTCGCCTGCACGTTTAACAGTCTGAGAGGCGCGGCTTTCACACAAAGTGGCACTGAATTTGTTATAAACTACGGGTGACACTTAACACTATAATCTCCCCAGTGTCGTCCCTATTAGACAGCACAATCTGCTAATGGGGCGTTTGCTTGTGATGTGATTTAATATTGTAAAGTAGCTGCCGACAGCGAAGAAGCGAAGCAATTAATAAATCTTTGCACCAAAATTCACGTGTGAAATGTACCAACTATTACAGTTTTACCGTTTTGTAGATAAAGAAATTTGACAATATCTACGAGACAAGAATGAAAAAAAGAAGACAAATGTCATATCCATCCAATACGCTGACTCTAAACCCTGCACCTTTCCCGCTTCTCCATGTCCAGTGTCCATGTCGACGGCGGTCAGTGGTCACCGCAATATATCAGATTTACTGCATATTTAAACTCATGGAGATTGCTGGGAGCCCTGCAGGCACAGGGTCACTCTGAGCAGGTTTTGGTCCAGCTGTCTCAGTGCCATTAGGAAATGAGCCATACGGCGGAGCTGAACCCAGTGGCCCCGCGGGGATTTGAGGTCTGAAGTGTCAACTTTGGCCGTGAGCGCTGGGGTCATCACACTCCAAGGCGGCTCCAAGCCGCGCCATAGGGCAAGTACCCCCAGGGAGACGTAATGGCCAAGCCTCCGCGAGAGCACTGCTGAAAAATAGAGGGTGATGTCCTGGTGCCCTGCGATTCGCAGTACAAATGTTAAATGATAAAATAACGTTTCCGGGATCGCACTTTCAGCCGTGTAAGTTTCTTACGACCCACCGCTAAACCACCATATTGCCTACTCACCGATTCCGAAATCCGTATGCGAGGGTCACAAGAGCCGTCTATCGTCCTGAACTGGGGCAGCTCCGACTGCCGCAGGGGACAAACAAGCGACCGGTTGCCATGACAACCCCTGGCGGCGGCTGGTTCCGACCCGGTTCGACAGGTCGGGGGGTGGGGTAGAGTGCGCAGTTTGAGATATCGAGGCACTCAGTCACTGATCATGTGATAGAAAATATAGGGCGGCGAATATCGCTCCTACCATCAGGGGAGGAGATACATGGGATTCCCCAGCCCACCCCTCACCCCATCCACCCCAACGAGCCACGACAACACCGGGCCCATGTACAAGGATTTGTGGAGGCTCGTAAGCCGAAGATCTACATCCAACATTCAACATTCATACCATACACATGATCCCGGCACAGCAGTAGGTATATATTATCAGTGCCTACTGCTTACTCATGCAGGTTATGATCCAATCAATACCTGTCCGGCAGGGGTGCGGAGCCGGAGCCGGAGCTGGAGCCGGAGCCGCCGGAGCCGGCATATTTTGCCCGGAGCCGGAGCCGGAGCCGTGAAACAATATAGCCCGGAGCCGGAGCCTGAGCCGGAGCCGTCAAAAAAGGCGGCGACTCCAGCTCCTTTTTTTAAGAGTCCTCTTAATTTTTCCTGAAAAAAATTATTGATCTAGTTCGGTTTGACAGTACAAGGCAGTAAAACACGTGATATTCAAAAAAGCCTTGTTATGCAAATACAGAAGCAACGTGAACCAATCCATTCGTCTTTTTTCTTCCAGCCGTATTTAATTGCATACTGTATAGAGGATGTACTGAGTATTGGAGCCGGAGCCGGAGTCGGAGCCGCCGGAGCCGGACCATTTTACTCGGAGCCGGAGCCGGGGCCGGAGCCGTCTGACATTTGCACGGCTCCGCATCCCTGTTGTCAGGTGCAGCAATCTGCAGCTGCAGCCTGCAATGAGGACCGTGGCCGGTGACTGACCTATAGGCAGCTCACGATTCTTGGCACCGGCAGAAGCACTGGACCGTTACTCGGCCATGGGTACAGGATATGCATGAGGTGACGATGGACCAGATGGCATCAAAGGCCAGACAGTGAAGAGAAGGGATACAAAACTCGAGAAATATGCTTCGTTTTTTTTTATTCGACCCGACTGTTAAACATCTTGATTCTTGATGAAAACACGACGAGATCAGACAACTACATGCATACCTACCTACTCGGAAAACCTGTTAGTGTTAGTGAACAATGCATTGGACTGTTGAATAGGTACCTATTTTATAAAATAATTTTTATCTGAACCTTTTGAATGGGAGGATTCACAAGGACAGAGCCCCACTAAGCAGCAAGCATATTGTTGCATATTCCCTGCATTCTTTCTGTCAATCGGGTATTTTCTGGTCTATATTGGAAGAATTTAGAATCCGAAGTATAACGAACGCACATAGACAACCGCACACGGCCGGTCCCCTCACTGACTTCCGGTGGCTACGGCCTGCCACCAACCGCAACGACACCCGTCAGAGGGCTTATTAACATCGAGCCACATTTTTCACTTTGATGAGCCAAAATCCAACGGCTTTAAAATATTGTATTATTTACATACAATATTGTATATGTATTATGTCGTATTTCTTTTTAGGAGCACTCAAGAGCAGCAGTGACTTTTATGGCTCCGAGTTATCTGGATGAGCGATGCAGTACATGCTAAGGTACGTAAGCATATCAGGGCATGTTTTAACACACTAACTGCGTCCCATTTTGGGACGCAGCCCCCTGCCTTTGGGACGCAGTCCTCGTGAAATTTGGGCCACTGCGTCCCACACTGAAATGCCACGGTGTCAGCGGAAAAGTACTAGCAAAAATAAGTAACACGCGCCTTACCTTGCTCTCGGACCCTGCATCCTACCCAGTCTTCAAGTCCCTAATGTGTCTATGGGTGGAGTTTTTCCGGGGAAGTTGGTGGCAGGCGCGGATCCAGGGGGGGGCGACGGGGGCGGCCGCCCCCCCCCCCCCCATCCGGAAAAGGCGCCCATATCCCGCGGCAGAGAGGGCGCCCCGAGCAGAAGAGCGGCGACACAGCAAAGGTTCAGCAGAAATAGGGCGCCTCCAGCAGAAGTTGGGCTCACCAAGCAGGAGAGTGACGCCCAATTGCCCATTCCCAGCAGATGAGAGTCGCCCCAGCAGCAGATGGGCGCCCCCAGCAGAAGAGGAACGTCTTATTACAAGAATAAAAAGATACATTCTGTTGAAGGGCGCCCCTGGCAGTGGAAAGGCACCCCCAGCAGGAGAAGGCATCCCTGAAGAGGAGCGACGCCCCAGCAAACGGAGAGAGGCGCCCCCATTCCGAGAAGAGGGGCGCCCTGACAGCAGATGGGCGCCCCAACAAAAAAGGAGCTCCATAAGAAGAAAATGGGTGCCACTGGCAGAAGAGGGGCGCCCCAGCAGAAGAGAGGGGTCTCCAGCAGGAGACGGGCACCCAAAGCAGAAGAGGGGCGCCCCAGCAGAAGAGAGGCGCCACAGCAAAAGTTAATCAGAAATAGGGAGCCTCCAGCAGAGGTTGGGCCCGCCAAGCAGGATATGGGCGCCCCATTGACAATATCCGGCAGACGAGAGACGCCCCAGCGGCAGATGGGCGCCCCAGCAGACAGCAGCCGTTGGGCGCCCCCAGCAAAAGAGGGGCGCCCCATTACAAAAAGAAAAGGAGTATATTCTACCAAGAGGGGCGCCCCTGACAGCGGAAGGGCAACCCCAGCAGAGGGGCGGTGCCCCAGTAAAAGGAAGGGTGCCCCGTTCCGAGCAGAAGAGGGTCGCCTCGCCCCAGCAAAAAAAAAAAAAACAGGAGCCCCATAAGAAGAAAAGGGGTGTCTCTGGCAGAAGATAGACGTTCCCCGCAGTGGAAGGGCGCCCCCACAAGAGTGGCGTCTCCAGCAAAAGAAAAGTGCCCCTGCAAGAGAGGGGCGCCACATCAAAAGTTGGGCAGAAGTGGGGAGCCTCCAGCAGAATTTGGGGTCGCCCAACAGGAGAGGGCCGCCCTATTCACAGTAGAAAAAAGACTCTTCAGCAGCAAAGGGGCGCCCCAACAGAAAAGGTGCACTCGTAGTAGAAGTGGGACGCATCAGGAAGAAGAGGGGTGCACTTCTAGCAGAAGATGGGCGTCCCAGATAAGTGGGCCGCCTACAGCAAATTGGTCGTTCTTAGGAGGAAGAAATGAGGCGACTTAAGCAAAGTGGGTCTCCCCATGAGGGATTAGGCGATCCAAGCAGAGGTTGGTCGCTTCCGGGAGAAGTGAGGCATAACAGTATAAGTGAGACGCTTCCAGAAAAAGGAGGGATATCACCGGGAGAAGAAGGACTGCACCAGTAAATGGAGGCCACCTTTTTGCTAATCTCTTTTGCTAGGGTAGCGGTGCCCATCTACGACTTTTAACCCGTGCCGTGCTGATGGTCTGAGTTTTCCGTGTCCTGCTGGGGAGGGGGGGGGGAAGGGTCACACTCCCTCGTCTAACTCGGCTTCTGGGCCGCGTAGTGACACGCGATAAGCGGCATTCGAAAGATCGTCCAAAAACAGGACAAAAACAAAACGGTCATTTTTTTAGGTCAGGTCGAATGTCAGGTCACCAGAGGTCATCAAAGGTAAAATGTTGCCTATTTCAACATTTTTCCGTTTTCGAAGCAGCGGCACATAACTCGGAAACCAATAGAGCTATAGCGCCGCAGAAAAGCGCATTCGATAGCCCTTTCAGACAGAGGTCGATAAAATGCTTGGAGTTGCTCCAACGAACATCTTAGTCCCATCACTGTCTCCAACTTAGCCCTCGCCCGGCGGGAGGGGGGATGCCTCCCTAAGTTTTTTTTTTTTTCGCGAATAGCGTAAAAGGTGGTGTCGCGTAGCGCCGCAAAATTTGGCACAACGTCTGGGAATGAGCCTCTTGCGACATATCCTGAAAATTTCAGGTGCCAGTCATTTCAGGACCTGGACTATGACTATGAAAAGTACGACCAGTATTGGTACTCACACCTTTCCTTTGATTTAGACGGATAAACAGGCGCCATACCTATAAATTTGCCCAAGCAAATGATATGCTAGATGAACAATGCATGCACAACTGTCTAATCACTGCCAATTGCCGCGTCGGCACACCGGCATCTCCTCACCTTCTCCCCACACGGCCTTGACTCCCAACTCACACCATCACACTGCATACGGTGACCGGTCACACGGTGGATCTGAATGCCTACGTTTTCATGCCAAAGTCTGAAACAACTAACGATTATCATCAGCGTAGAAATGTTGAAATTTAGCATTTTAAAGCTTTTAACTTAAAACTTTATAAGTGTGTTTTAACGCACTTGTCCTTATTGATTGAGAAAAGAGCGCACTTTTGATCGTATTACCTTATACGAAGTAACGCAATCGAAGTGTGATTCCGGTCCACTGTGCGTTTTCAGGCGCGCTCGATAAAACACCCAGGCCTGGAGAAAGTTGGAAGGGTGATTTTCTGATCCTCCTTACCACAAAATGACCCTAAGCGAAAAAATGCCCGCGGGGCGCTGCCAACGCGTGCCAGCGGCCCTGCTAGTAAGGGCGAAAATCAATGCATGTGTATGCGGAGCACACCCTTAGCGCTACGATGGCTCCTTGGAGACACCTGGAGAAACCTCTGCCGGCAGAAGGGTCAGGTCCCTCGCAGACGGCGCGGCACGGCGGGAGCTTAGCCGGAAAGAGGATAAAAATAGCCGACTGGCCCGACTCAGCGAGGGGTGACCGAAGGGTGACCAGGAGTGAATGAGGGAACATACACGCGGTACCGAGCAGCCGATAACAGCACCGGACGATTAGAAAGTCATAAGTCAATGCTGTATTTTAGTCGTAAGGAAGCATCCATGTAGACGGGCGGACTGTCTCCAGCTCTTCCAAGTATTGCTAATATCTTGCTCCAACGAGCGTTGGCACGTTGGAAGTTTTATCGACCACTGCTTTCAGAGGTGTTACTGTAAGCTGCGCTCAGATTTGACCTCAGGTCAACGGTTTAGCCTTCAGAGGGCAAAAGACTCTAAAATAGCCGATTTACGAACAATGTTTTCCTGCAATAACTTTTGACTCAAGAGAGTCTCGACATTACGTTTGCCAGCATTGCGTTTCTGTCGTCGAGACACGTCGAACAAACTAAAGGCTGACCTTATGAAAAGTAATTTTGAGAATTTGACCTCAGGTCAAGGTCATGACCTGACTGGGAAAGGTCATGCTGTATAGCAGTCGATGCGTATCGTCGAGCTGAACACAACTGAGGTGTTTTTATCGCTCTAGCATGAATCTATCAAACGTTATTAAAAAAAACTGCTGTGGACCTTTCATGACATGGGATGACCTCTGGGACATAATGAGTGGTCACACTAGGTGCAATGTTCTTATTCAGTGTGTTAATTTTATATGTATCCCAATGCTTGATATTGTCTAGAATGGCGCTCGTCCAAAAGAGATGCCTTTCAGTTTTCTCCCAAAGACTTAATCATACCTACCTACCTAATGGAGACGTCGCACAACTGACCTGACCTTAGGTCACAGATATCGAAATTCCGAGATATACATTTCATGAATATTGTTGCTTTCATCAATCGCTGAAAGGTTCAAAGCGATCGTTCAGTCGGTATAGCAATGTTGAGCATTTGAACTTTTTCTTAGGTTAGGTCACTTGGCATAACCTGGTGACCTGACCTTCCATCACCCGCGTCTGAAATTTTTACAACATGTGCAGAAAAGATGCATGATAAGGTATACTGAAAATGGCGGCGCTGCGCTCAGCCGTTTTTCAGATATATGCGAAAAACCTGACGGGGAGCGCAATAACGCCCCCAGCACGGCGCGGGTTTTTAACTCCCGATTTTGAGGGTTTGGCGCCCCCTTTGTATGGAGCGCCCCCGGATTGCCAGGTCGCCCCTATTTCGACTTGCCGCCCCCCCTCCCGAAAATTCCTGGATCCGCCCCTGGTTGGTGGGGCAAAAAGGCATCAAACCTACACTTTCCGACTGTCAAGTTGAATAAAATGAGCAATGAATCAATTCCTGTCGTTGCAAATGTACCATTTTTCATAACACAGACATTCCAAAGCTCCTCAATGATTGATTTGCAAAGCAATAAAGTCTTGCAAATCAGCTAGAGTTGGTGGGGCAAAACACTCATTGATGGGGCCACAGACTTCTCTATATATAGAGAGAACTCTATGGTGGGGCAAAATAGCAAGTTGGTGGGGCAGCCGCCCCACCAACCGTATAGGAAGCTCCGTCCCTGAATGTGTCTTATCTGAGCGTCTGAGCATATAACTATGCTGTATTGCATATATGCTGAGCATATACAAGTCTAATGTCAGCATATAAACCAAACACACAAGCAACACTTTACACTGCCACGTGCCCACACACAATTACGTATGTCCATGTTTGTAGACATGTCAGTTCAATCACGGGCAAGGAAGCGCTTCAAAGCCCGTCGGAGCGCTTTCCGTCGAGAGCATTCACGTCCGGTGGCAGGCGATTATATATGTGTTGTGTGGGCGCTCCGAACCGTTGCCCTGTGGCTCCGAACAGCAGGGCTTTCCCGTAGATGGGCCAGGCCGCCGGCCGGCCGGCCCGTGACAGTGCACCGCTGGTGCCGGAGCGTTCACTCACTACCTCTCCATGGAGCTCAGCGTGGCGCTGGTGCGTCGGGTGCGGACCGCACACACCACCGTGCTGCTTCTCATCATGGGCCTGGTCGGCGTCGGGTGAGCAGATCAGCCGCCCACTCCTAAGTCCTACATGCTGATTCTTTTAATTCGTTCGAGCGACTTTAACGGGTAACCAAAAATCTCTGGATTTTTATATTTTTATAATATTGATATTTCGGGAAGGCCATTTTTTGTAACTCTACTTGCGGTTCTACTTTTGAGTCTCTGGGTTGAAAGTTTGATTTTCTGCAATTTTTCTCCGTGAACAACTTTTCCACGAAAAATGGCCGATAATGACTTCAGTTTGACCTCTTTACCTAACTCGTGACCTAAAATGACCTGGAAAGTGATTTTTCAAGAGTTGTGTAAAATTGATGCCCGGAGAGGTAGGTAGGTACTGAAAGTTTCAAACCGAAATTATAAGCTCTTTCTGAGTTATCTGCGAAAAACCACAGGAGGGCTCCCTCCCAACGGGTCGCGAGTTAAGTCGTTAGTTGCCCCCTTTTACGTTTTATGTGATATCTCCAAAACCTATTACCTGAAGTATGAAGTTGTTACTTGACTTCATGCTTGGTAAAACTTCAAATGAATAGCTACGCCACATCTGAAGAAAGCTTGGTGGTTGCAGCGCTCAAGATGACGTCACAGTGACGTCATAATTTTTGGTCGTTTTCCGATAGGTATGGATCTTTTTTTGATGTCACTGAGCATAACACGTAACGGTAAATGAAATTGAAAGCCCATCATTGAAGCATCAATTGTTACGGGGCGAGCGAAGCGAGCGTAGTCTTTCGTAGATTAACCCGGCAGGCGGTGGGCCTCCCGGCCACCTCCCGCGCGGTGGGGGGGGGGCATTTTTTGCCCCCCTCCCCGTATCTCCGAAACTACAGGACGAATCCGGAACATTCAAACGGCGTTCGATAGCCCTATCAAATTTGTCGAGAGAAACCAAATTTCATTGACCTCGGGGTCACCGATGACGTCACAGGTCAGGTCAAAGATTAAATGTTTCACCGTTCACGGGTCTTCTAGGGAATGCGCTATAGCACCAAGTAAAACGCATTTTGTCGAAAATCAGCGATAGGGCGTCAGTTGCCTAGTACATATGTTGCTATTAGAGGTCACTGATCATACCAGGTCAGGTCACAGGTCAGGTCACCAAGTGTCACCACATGAACCCAACTTTACTAAGGTTGTGCGATGCATGTTTTATGGCCAATTTTTCATTTCCAACTCAATGGTGTTGGCTATAAGACCATCAGATACCTACGGTTAAGGTCACTTTCTGGTGGAGGTCAGGTCAAGGTCAGGTCAAAAAAGGTCAAATTTCAAAGTTGATTGTTTTGCATAAAATGGGTATTATTGATTCGATGCAGCTCGTCACGGGGAGTCTAATGGTGGTCTTTGTTTTGCGCTACAAGGTCTAGAGTTGCTAAAAATTGGGTTTGAAAAATTGACGTCATTTTTTTATAAATTTAGTCCGAACCTTTTGATGGGAAGGATTCACAAGGACAGAGCCACCACTAAGCGAAGCTTGTTGCGATGACCCTGCCCTCTACCCTCCGATCGCGTAATTCCGATTCTATGGCAGAATTTAGAGTCCAAAGTTTAACGTGCGCACAAAGCCGCGCACGGCCGGTCCCCTCGCTGACTTCGCCTGGCTAGTGGCTACGGCCTGCCACCAACCGCAACCATACCTGTCAGGAGGCCCATAAATGTCGAGCGCCCGTCGCGCTTCGAACCCGGACTGTCATAACCGGGAACGCGTGCTCTCACCACGCGGATACCAACGCTCTAACCAACTGAGCTACAGGACCGGCAATTTTGTTTGACCAAATCTTTGTTTGACCTAATTTGACCAAATCTGCACCTAATCTGCACCAGATGTGCACCAAATGTGTACCAGATGGCCGTCGTGAAAACGGTTAATCTGTCTTGCTTGAAGATGGGTCTACGACCTCCCGGACAGACATGTGCATGGATCCGAGTGATGGATCTATGATCTCAGTGGATCTCGAGGCAAATTGTAGGTTCGGATCTATGATCCCACCGAATCTGGCGTGAAAAATTTATCCTGGATCTATGATCTCACAGGATCTGACGATAAACCAAAAGCACGTACCGGGACGGCCCGGACCACTTCTGCGCCTGCCATCTATCGGGCAGTGCTTGGAACTACAGCGGGCGCCGGCCGGCCGGGCCGCGCGTCGCCGTTACGGGGCATGGAGGCGAATGAAGTGGTGTAAAACCAGACAAATTTTACGCTTGTAAAGCAAAAAACTAAAAATGTACACTCACCACGGTGTTCAGGAAAGTACTGGGAACAATATGGATATAATTTAAAGCTAGTACGATGCGAACTGTTGGTTCCCTAGAGCAGTATTTACATACTTGTCGGAGATAGGACTTTAACAGGGCATATTTTAACAAATTTTTACTGCGTCCCCAAGTTGAGCAAAGGGCACTGCTACGACTAAGGGCACAGGGCAAGGAACAGAGTGGGACACTGAGGAGGGCAGAAAGTAGGGCACGGCAGGCTGCAGGGCATGACACAGGACATTTTAGAGGGAAGGCCGGGTACAGGTCAGGGCAGACAGCAGGGCACAGGTCGGGGAACCGGACAGGGCAGGGACGCAGTGGGTCAAATTAGCAGGGGCTACGTCCCAAGGCAAGGGGGCTGCGTCCCAAAATGGGACGCAGTAAGTGCCTTAAAATATGCCCTGGACTTTAACATTACCGGAGCTTCTAAACTGCGCTCGCAAAGTACTTGATTGTAAATATTTGCATTTAGAGGCAAAAATCTAAAAATGTACAGTCAGAGCGTTGTTCCCAATACTTCTAGGTACATAATGAGCATAAATTTAGCTTGAAGTGTCATCACACATTGGTTCCCAGTCCAGTTTAAAGCGACACTTTGTGCCGCAGAGCCTATCTCTTCCAGTGGATGGCGGCTGGCTGGCGGTGGACAAGACAATTCTTGAGTGAAATGAAATCGTTTTCTTTCATAGAAGAATTTTGAAGAACTCGTAATAATTGACATATGACCGTTAATTACAGTGTACAATTTAAAGTTCATGGCAAATGACAAACTTTTAAACAATGATTGTGAACCCCAGTACCGCTGCGCGAGTAAGCAAGTACTCGACGCACGGTCTGCCCGCCACTTCTGAAAATGGTCCGCGGCCGGCCGGCCGCGACCCGACACGATGGATCTATGATCTGAGTGGATAAGTGTTTCTATGTCAATAAGTGCCATAAAACTATGGATTATGACGTGTTATCACATAAAAGCACTAATTAAGAACGTTTGTGAGTTGCAACGAGTGATCTTTTGGGATTTCTGTGTTGACCAAAAATAAATGAGGATCTATGATCCCACTGGATCTCAAGAAAAAATACTAGACTCGGATCCATGATCCCTACGGATCTCTCGATAAATTAAAGAGCTGGATCTATGATCCCAACGGATCCGAGATCAGGATCCGTGGGATCAGATCCCAGATCCATTTTCTCGGATCCATGCACATGTCTGCTCCCGAACATTACGCTCTCCCCCAAAACTGGGTCAATAGTGACGGTTCGAGTTAAGCATGGAAACAGAGACTTCTAGGTCTTTGTAGTAAAGCACTGTGCGTCTAAAAACCATTTTGGGGTGCATTATTCATCTGGATTTAGTGCCTGGGTTCTTATAGCCTCACAGTACCGTGAGCCGCCTGGCCTTTTGCATAGGGGCCAGGCGAGGCGAAACAGAGGCCTTTTCCTTTGCCCTTATGGGGCCGATTTGGGATCGAACGAGTGTTCCACCCCGACATGGGTCATGTAGAAAAATAGTCGATCCCTATTGATGAGTTGAACACATTCCAGATAATTTCATTGCCGTATCATGTCTCAATCAAGAGTTGCTGTCGAAAAAATTGATATTGACCTTTGATGACCAAACATGACCGTATGTCATTGTTTATCATGTATAGTGTTAGTTTGACTTCGCCTGTCAGTGGGGGTCCGCCCTGTTGGTGATCACTTGAATAAATAAATAAAATAAATAAATGACCCTTTGAGTGACTGCTGGCCATTAGCTGCGCTATGCCCACTGCACAATAGCGGTCGCAGCCGATTGCAAAAAGGAGGTGAAGTCGAAGAGCGTCAGACTCGCGGGATCCAATACATTATTCTTCGTTCTGGTGTTGCAGGCGGGAGGGTACTTATTTGTGTGTGTCGTGAAAACCACGGTGCTAAACGATGCGAAAGCTCACATGGTTATACCACAGCAGTTACATATGATCATATCTCATCCTCCTGTGAAAATGTTGACCCAAGTTTGCAAGTAAACTAATCATGGCTCTGTCGCGGTCGCAACCACACTGCGGCGAGACGACTTTGCCATCGACACGTGACGGTCACGCCCCCCCCCCACCCCTCCTACTCTCAGAGCTGCTGTCTGCCTGACAAAACAGCCGAGAGCGCCGGCCGCCGGACTGTGCCGTCAGCGACACGGCGGAGGGCATTCCTAAGCGTTCAACAATGACCAGCAAAGGCCACACGGTAGACATCGTGCAAGCCAGCAATCCACTCTTTATGGCATCACAACAGACGACCATTCGCTGCACAACTGATGATAAATTCCATTAATGAATTGCGGCCCAATTCAAATTTCATGCGCTAGTGCGATAGTCCGCACTACACCACAGGCGTGTAGTGCGGTACAGTCTACATTTCAGGCATGTAGTGCGGTACAGACCACAGTTCAAGCATGTAGTGGGGTACAGTCTACTTGTCAGGCATGTAGTGCGGTACAGTCTGCAGTTCAGGCGTGTAGTGCGGTACAGTCTACGTTTCAGTTTCTTCCGAAGTTTTCGTGATGGGGGGGGGGGGGGTGATACAGGCTGCATTGATTTTCATTTTGCCGGATTTTGTCGAAGCCAAAGCCGTATTCCTGTTTATAAACGATTGTTTTCAGCAAGAAGAGCACAAACCGGAGGCTGCGCCACAAAATGCTTTTAAATCTGCATGCTATTCATAAAGCATATTTGCAATATTATGCCTTGGAACGCGCAATGGATCATTTAAGGCAAGATGAAAAAATATCCGGCATGAACTTTCATGATATGGTCTTAAAGGGACTCTCCCACCTTAACATTAGATTTGAGTTGAGATAGCCAAAATGGGGTCCCTGGCTCACAATTACCGGTTTCGGCACTCACAACATCGAGAAATGCCTTAAATCGGAAATATTGAATTTCAAAATTGCAGCATTTTGATTTAATGCTTAGGAATACCCCTCTGAATGTGTGACGTCAGCGCAAATATCTAACGATTTTTGAATGTTTGACTAAAACGTTTTGTAGCACGCGGTGGTATATGCTATTTGCGCGCAACATCTGCCGCAAACGCCGCACTTCTAAAATAAAGTCACTAGAAACAGCGGAGATCCCAATAAAAGTAAACAAAAGTAAAAGTCTAATATCTTAAAAACCGGTGAATATTTTTCGGTGAAATTTGGTAGATATTCGTTTTCGCTCTTTCTGAACCGAGCGACATCACTTTCATGCCAATTCATAAACTTTTTTGAAGGTGGGAGGGTCCCTTTAAGGAAGAATGTCCGGAGCTGGAGCTGGGGTCGGAGTCTGAGGCGATTTTTGAAACCGAGTCGGAGTCGGAGAACCAAAAGATAAATTTGCTTCACAGCCCTGGACTTGAATGTACTGTTTGCTTCCCGCAGTGTCTACTGTCTAATTCACTATGAAACTATACATGAATAATATGTTGGTAAATTTAGGTCAGCTGCCAGAACTAAAGCCAAATAAATGGAGTGTGCAATACTGAAGAATGAAGTATGAACTACATATGATGGTGGTGGCAATCTACCTATAGGTGATAGCGGCCTATGCGGTACCTACTCTGTATATGCATAACACCCTGCACAACTTTTCAGCATTCTGCTTCAATCACTTGACGTTCAACGTCGCTTTGAGAACCACACTGGCTCAAGCAATCAACTGCGGGACTGCTATCGTGATCTGGGGCGCGCTTACCACCGGCTGAGACCTCGCGACTCCAGTCCGGAAGGCGAGGCGTTCCGGACGCGCCACTGGTGGCTGATGGCTGCCCTTGTCCGCGCGCTGGACATTGGACAAGCTAGAAGTACCCCACTGGCTGGGCAGCGGCTCCCTCTTAGGTATGCATATTGTAATCACGTATATTCATTCATGTGTATCGGGTAAGGGGGTGGAGTTGGTGGATGTGTGTGAGCCATGGGTCTCTTTAGCACGTGGCTCATGCTAAAGAAGCTAAACAAGTCGGGCAGGATAGAAGTCTCAACCTTCCAGGGTGTGGGGGGGGGGGCATTTTTTGCCCCAACTTTAATTTTTTCGATATATCTCAAGAACCGCTGCGCCGATCGTCACCAAACTATCAGTACCCTCCCGTGAATAGCTATTGCACATTGTGACCAAATATGTTTACAAAGGCTATGATAAGTTGGACGCTAATGACGTCAGAGTGACGTCATTTCTGCCATTTTCGACCAAAAAAAAAGGTTTCGCAAGAAGAGCTGTCAGGCCTACAGCTTTAGAGATACAGAAAATGTTTTTAAGATAAGAGGTGTAGAATTTAAAGGGCTACAAAACTACTATCTCGGATTTTTGAATTTTTTGGATTTTAGCCCCCAAAAATCAAAAATAGATTTTTTGAATATAGTACCCGAAAAAAATCCAAAAAGTTTTTTGAATTTCGAAAAACCGGAACATATGTGATAGTCCCTACCGTCTTCTATCTACACACCAAATTTGAGATCGATACCTCTTTTTTTTGGCCAAGTTATAGCGAAAAACTGTTCAAAATTGATGACGTTAAATTTTCAAACTCAATTTTTAGCAATTCTAGACCTCGTAGCGCAAAACAAAGACCACCATTAGACTCCCCGTGACGAGCTGCATCGAATCAATACCCATTTCATGCAAACATATCAACTTTGAAATTTGACCTTTTTTGACCTGACCTTGACCTGACCTCCACCAGAAAATGACCTAAACCGTACCTGATAGTCTTATAACCAACACCATTGAGTTGGAAATGAAAAACTGGTCATTAAACATGCATCGCACAACCTTAGTAAAGTTGGGGTCATGTGGTGACCCTTTGTGACCTTTGGTGACCTGACCTGTGACCTGACCTGGTATGACCAGTGACCTCTAATAGCAACATATGTACTAGACAACTGACGCCCTATCACTGATTTTCGACAAAATGCGTTTTACTCGGTGTTATAGCGCTTTCCCTAGAAGCCCCGTGAACGGTGAAACATTTTATCTTTGACCTGACCTGTGACGTCATCGGTGACCCCGAGGTCAATGAAATTTGGTTCACCGCGACAAATTTGACAGGGCTATCGAACGCCGTTTGAATTTTCCGGATCCGTCCAGTAGTTTCGGAGATACGGGGGGGGGGGGGGCAAAAAAAATGCTCCCCCCCACCGCGCGGAAGGTGGCCGGGAGGCCCACCGCCTGCCGGGTTAAAATTTCATCACTGTCTGTAATTCATAGTTTTATGTTTATAGTTCATGGTTTTATATGTAGAATATCCAAGACAGTTAGGATAAATGATAACAATAACACGTCAAATGTATATTTAAACACACACAAAGCTTTCGGTATGAAAATACCTTGATCACTGTGTTAACAGAAATGAGGACAGAAATTGTCACCGGCAGCTTGTACAAAAATATAAAATAGCACTCGAAAAATAGATCACAATCACGAGATTATCTATCGGGGTCCTGCCACTAAGCTTACTGCGCATGTTGCTAAAGTTATAAATCCAGTTCTAGTATTGATGGTATCGCGTGCTTAGAAGCGGCTCACATATCAGCACGCGATACCATCAATACTAGAACTGGATTTATAACTTTAGCAACATGCGCAGTAAGCTTAGTGGCAGGACCCCGATAGATAATCTCGTGATTGTGATCTATTTTTCGAGTGCTATTTTATATTTTTGTACAAGCTGCCGGTGACAATTTCTGTCCTCATTTCTGTTAACACAGTGATCAAGGTATTTTCATACCGAAAGCTTTGTGTGTGTTTAAATATACATTTGACGTGTTATTGTTATCATTTATCATGGTTTTATGTTTATATTTATCGTTTTTCATTCATTCAAATGCATTTCAACGATCACAGACTGATGATTTCAGTCGATGTTTGAGCGAGTCCGTCAAAAAATGTTGGCGAAGTGCAAACTAGTCCAGCACTGCGACAATCGTCAATTTGTTAACACCACCTTACAACACACCTCTCCCACCTGATGTATTTGAATAGCTGGGGTATACAAAAAAAGCTTTCCTTTCCTCCGCTACATCGCAGGATAAGAAGGCAGGGGTGAAATGTACAGCTAGGAACTATGTATGTAGGCACCTTAGTGATGTGGAAATTACTTTTTGAGAGTGAAGACAAGAATACCGTGCTCCACATGCTACTTATTGCGTATTGCTTACGCTGTGCTCCTTGTGGCAGGGTTCTTCCGTCAGTGCGAGCTGGTGCCGGCCATGGGGGACGTGGATCTGGAGGTGGCCATCGAGGCGCTGTGGGAGCGCAACATCACCGTCCCGCAACTGATGGAGGCGGCCAGCGCCGAGGGCGCCCAACTCCGACACCAGTTCGGCCTGCCAGAGGACAGTCTGGAGCTGTCGTTCGGCGACGGTAACGGCACGCGGCTCGATGTGTTCTTCTCCTACCCGCAGGCCAACGGCACGCGCTACATCGGCGGCATCGACACCGACACGCTGCAGAAATACAAGTGGGTTGTAATTGAAACGGTGTTTGGCATGACTCGTGGTTGATATTATGGCGCTGCGTCATCACCTTGAATCTTTCAACTGATGACGGATGCTGCTCTGCTGCAGTCGTCTCTGCTGCGTAAGACGCGACTGCAGAGCTCTGCAGTCGCAGAGCTCTGCTGCAGTCGCTCTGCTGCGTAAGGGCAGTTCCATCGCCTTAGGCGATGGAACTGCCCTTACGGAAATTCTGCAAGTAATTCAAACAGGTATGAGGTGGACGTGCCGGACGGCGCCAGATCAAGGTTTTGTCAGGAGGAGCGAAAAACAACAACAAAAAACGCCCTTTGCCCTTCCCCCGCAAGCCTTCAATCCTCGACGTTAGGGCTTAGAAGTTAGGTGCCGCTCATGTTTTACAGGCGGTGTGCGATCTATCACTTCGCCATCATCGTCTGTCTGACTGGGTGGTGACCGTGTCGTCTGTCTGATCGCGGGTCTGTCTAACCTTGTGATCTGTCTGACCAATGATCATGTGGTCTGTACCGTGTGGTAACCGTAGGATATGTCTGACCGTGTGGTCTGTCTTATCATGTGGTGACCGTGTGGTGACCGTGCGGTGACCATGTGGTAACTGTGGGATATGTCTAACCGTGTGCTCTGTCTTATCATGTGGTGACCGTGAGGTGTCCGTGCGGTGACCGTGTGGTGACCGTGTGGTAACTGTGGGATATGTCTAACCGTGTGCTCTGTTTTATCATGCGGTGACCGTGAGGTGACCGTGTGGTGACCGTGGGATATCTGGGATATGTCTGACCGTGTGGTCTGTCTTATCATGCTGGTGACCGTGTGGTGTCCGTGTGATTTGTCTGACCAGTATAGTACCTATATCGCCGGTTCGTGTCCCCCAGGTGGTCGTACCCGGACTTTGAGCTCTGCTGGGCTCTGCTAGACGGACTGAGGGTCGGCGTGCCCTGTGAACCCTCCGTCTACTTGCGAACCTTCTACGGGCCCGACTGGGCGTCACCGCCGCCCGAGGGCCCATGGAACTACCGCACCGGACACCCGAACGTGGTCGAAAATGGCCGCTGGCCCGAAAGCATGAGGGCTGAAGTGTTTCAGACATTCGAGGTCTGATGTGATATTTTGTGGATACAAATGCTATTTATTTTGTACAATATTGGTACGGTCATTTGGCCATTGGGTCAGCGTTCATTGTTCTCAGTGCTTATGCTATGCATAAGTTAAAAAAGGGCTTCAAAAGTTTGGTGTTTTTGACCACAAAACCAAAGAAAGGTAATCTGTAGGACGATTTTGCAAGGAACGGCGAAATTTCGCCATGCGATGTGTACATTCGTTTTTGGTTTTTGCGTGTCACCTTCATGACTTATGTATGTTATTGTGCATAAGCGATTCTGTCCACCGTACATTTGATATGCATGTTAATATGTATGTTGAGCTCCTCGTCCCAGACACTTTGGGCGTATTGCGGCACAGCATACCCTGCTAGGGCGAGGCCGTGCGGCCCGGTCGCGATTGGTGATTGGTTGACCGCTGACCACGTGACCGAGGCGAGGTCGAGTGGATGTGCTGTGGCGGAGGGCAGTCGGACATCACAGCTGTCGCGGTTGGTGGTATTGATCGGCACTGATTGTTGACGGTGTTGAATAAAAAATATGGTAGCTCATCTGACGCTCATACTATCAATGAATATGATTGAAAAAATAGTGAAATGATAGGTACGTCCCACACCACATGGGTTAATTGGAACGTTAAGCCTAACGGTGGAAACAATTATATTAGTGAAACAAATTGATGGAATTTCTTAAAACATTTCCATTGGATTCACGAGCGCCAGTTAATTATCGTACCTATCTATAATGCTATAACTGCTCAAAGTGGCGTTTCAATGCACAAAACTCTTATTGGAAATTGGGAACACCTGAATAGCTATAAGCGCTTTTGACCTGCAACAGATATGTGCTATATGGTTATGTTGATTAGTTACCATGTGTGAACGCACGTTGAACAATAAACAAAACGAAGTGATCAACAAATTTGAAATTAATACCTCTATTTGACGTAAGGATGCAAAAAACATGTTTCTCGCCTGAAAAGACACACACATGATAACGCTCTGTTCAGAACGCTCTCTGGGCCAGAATTGGCGCCCTTTGCTTGTGCAAAGGTAAATTAAACAATGTGTTACATTAGTCACACCACACCTCTCTAACCACTGAGATGTGATTGATCTGCCAGTGGGCGTATGTTGTACAAGGGCAGCTACTGCTATGTAAACTCAACTCGTCATTCGGCGGCTGACAGCCCGGCGAGCTGACGATAACTCGGTAGGGGAAAGAACTCGGTGGTTTGGTTTAGGGGAACATCTAGGGAACTCTTCTGGATGTCGTGATAATATGGCAGTTTGGCGATGTGGGTGTTGGGACACCCTCCCCCGGTCTAACTCGGCTTCTGAGGAAAATAAGTCAGTCATATTTTGAGGACAGGTCAAAGGTCAGGTCAACAGAGGCAAACAAAGTCTTTCCAAGCCAAACAAGTTTGCCTTTCAACATTTTCGAAAAATCGGCGATAACTCTGGAATTAATGGATCTACAGCACTGCGGCATTGACCTCAAATAAATATTCAACAGTTAAGCCTACAAAGTACAAACTCCAGAGAGCAAACACATTTAAAATTGATGTTTTACGAAAAAAAAATCTAAAATAACTTTCGCTTCAAAACTTCCACGACATTGATTTTTTCGGCATCATGCTCCTCTCGTCGAGACGCGTCGAATGAGCCATAGTTTGACCTTGGAAGGTCATTTTGAAAATTTGACCTGAGGTCAAGGTCATGATCTGACCGGAAAAGGCTATGTTGCATTTTAGCAGACCCGTATAGTCGAGCTGAACACATCCAGGGTGTTTTCATCGCTCTAGCTTGTCTTTGCCAAAAATATTGTAAAAGAAAACTGCTGGAGACCTTTCATGACCTGAGGTGACCTCAGGTATGTACTTTTACCAGTTACCTGTGTACATGCAAAGGGGTCACGGGTGTAATATCCCGATTCAGTCTGTCATGATTAGCTGAAACCTATCCGCTGTGGGCGTTTAGTATGGTTTTCGTTCAAATGACGCGCATTTCATTTGTCTCCCACTGACATATAATGGCGATGTCTCAAAATTGACATGACCTTAGGTCAACCGGTCACCGATATAAAAATTCCGAGACATTCACTTAATATGTACACATTGTTATTCTTATCAGCCGCTAACAGTTTTAAAGCGATCTCTCAGTCGGTGTAGCTATGGAGTATGGCGAGCATTAGGTATTAACTTTCTGAGGTAAGGTCACTTAAGTTACCTGATGACCTGACCTTGGATGACCCGGGTCTGAAATTTTCACATGTCCTGAAAATATTATGAACAGGTGTTCCAAAACGGAGCCGTACCGCGCCGCTGTTTTTGAGCTATAGGTACTCTTGTGAAAAACCGCAAGGGTGCGGGACGCGGGTTCAGGGTTCAAGTTTCAACCTTCCCCCGATCCAGCGCGAGTTAATCCTTCTTAGTCTTTTTCTCCCTAAATCAATCGTCCGCGCATCTCTGATCGGAAGGATCTTGTGTTTTCGTATGTAACCACAGCAGTACCGTCCCGAGCAGCTCACAGCTGAGATCAGTGAGATGCGTGGTTGGTGCCGCTGTTTATTCGTCTGAGATGTCTCCGGAAAATATGGCTATCTCCTAAATAAGAGGAACCATGACTTGAGACAGCTGTTGACAGCCTTGAAAAGGTACTGTTGCCTAGCAACCGGAGGTTCCAAAATATCAACATTTTGAGACTGGCGCAAAGCGGTGTTGTGTCGGTATATTGCGTGAAAATGGTAATTTTAGGCATTATTTTCAGGTAGTTGTTGATATGTAGTTACACGGTTTCCAAATCATCACCGTTTTTCTTTGAGTTTGCTTTTATTAAGTTAATTTTTCGTTAGTTGTCGATAAGAGAGCAAAGATGAGAGATCTTGTCCAGTTTGTGAGACAACTCTGGGAAGATCGCCTTCAGTCAGTGGAAGAATTCACTAAAGAAAATAATCTGAGCTTAGAAGAGGCGTTACAGGTAAGGTTGTATATTTATTGATTCAATGCAGAAACAGGAAATCAAAGCGAACATTGAAAATTAGTCAGACTTGACTTGAGTGAGTTGAGACAAGTGTTTCATGAACACTAAACAGCCTTGAGTAAAATAGGTGTCATTTCCGTGGGAGTTAGACAATGGGCATAGGTACACCCCGAAAAGCTTCCCTAATTTCACAGAACTCCTCAAATTTTCACTCCTTACGCACTCCCGTGCAGTTTAAAACAAATTTTACATGATATAAGTTGTTTTGTTTGCTTTGCATTCTCGAAAAAACCGTAAGTTTTCGTCGACTTCTGGCGCCGTGGGGGGGGGGGGGGCGTTGGAGGTGAAGGCATTTGTCACAAATGCCCGCTTCAATCCGCCAGTGATAGGTGTACATCTCTGATTACGTGCGAGCGGAGCGAGCGAAGTCTTGTTACTGAGCGAGCGGAGTGAGCGAAGTCTTACGTAGAGTAACAGAAATTTCTTAGTACCAGTATAACGCCTTTTGGGGCGACTAACGGAGCGAGCGAGAGGGTGGGCCTTGCACGTGCGAAATTTCGAGGGGGTACCTCCAACTGACTTGTGCACGGCACTGTACTAACCGGTCTCTAGCGATGTGCCAAATTTGAGCACAATCGGCCTAGCCGTTCTCGAGATCTGAAAGCGGCACCCTGCACGTGCGCACGTGCAAAATGGGTCCCAACTGACTTGTGCACGGCACCCTACTAACTGGTCCCTAACCGTGTACCAAATTTGAGCGCCATCGGTCCAGCCGTTCTCGAGATCTGGAAACGACCCCTGCACGTGCGCACGTGCAGCAGCACCCCAACTCTGGCACATGGATATGCAGTGCCTAGTGGGTGCCTACCTACATGCCAACTTTCAGCGCAATCGGCCAAGTAGTTACCGAGATATTGCAACAATTACAAAACTGACACCTCTTCGTTTTGCACGTGGCACGTGCATAAGGGGTCACCCACATGCATCGGGAATAGTCCAATACTTGGTAGAAGGAATGAAGCTACCCTACAAAAATTACCGCGTGTAAATCGGTCAAGTGGTTGCTGAGATATAAGCCTCGCAAAAGCGTCCGCACGGTCGGCCGGCCGGCCGGCCGGCCGCTCATACTCAGAAATTTCCGTTAATCTAAGGAAAGACTACGCTCGCTTCGCTCGCTCCGTAATGAGCGGCCGGCCGGCCGGCTGTGGCTACGCATTTACGAAGCTTATATCTCATGGATCGACCACTGGACCGATTTAACTTGCGGTAATTTTTGTGGGGTAGCTTCATTCCTTCTTCTAAGCATTGGACTATTACCAAAGCATGTGGGTGACCCCGGCCCTTATGCACGTGCGATAGTGCAAAACGAAGAGGTGTCACTTTCGTAACAATTCCAATATCTGGCATTTGACAATTACTGGGCCGATTGCGCTGAAATTTGGCATGTAGGTAGGCACCCACGAGGCAATGCATATGTACACATGTGTCACGGTTGGGGTGCTGCTGCACGTGCGCACGTGTAGGGGCCGATTCCAGATCTCGAGAGCGGCTGAACCGATTGCGCACACGGTTAGGGATCGGCTAGTAGAGTGCCGTGCAAAAGTTTTGTGGGGCCCAGTTTGCACGTGCGCACGTGCAGAGTGCAGCCTCCAGATCTCGAGAACGGCTGGGCCGATTGCGCTCAAATTTGGCACATCACTAGAGACCGGTTAGAAGGGTGCTGTGCACAAGTCAGTTGGAAGTATATTCTCGCAATTCCGCACGTGCAAGGCTCACTCTCTCGCTCGCTCGTGTGTCGCCCCGAAAGGCATTTTACTGGTTATGTAAGTACGATTATGTGATAATCAGTACACAGCTCCAGCTGATGCACCTTATTCTTCGAATAAGCAGAACGAAAATGTAAAAAAGTGCAACGATATACGACGCACGGTCTCAGTATTCAACTCTATCTCGCAACAAGCTTTTTGAAATTACATCTAAGTGAAAATGAAAAATAACTAAATGCTTGCATTGTCTTGCTGAGAGTCGAGCGCACGAACAAGGTGAAGAGGAATATTATTTAGCATATGTTCAAGTCAAGACCTCACGTTTTCAGCGCATGTCCGCATATTCCCAGATGCGAAACAAGGAGCTGGAAGGGTGCATGAAGGACCTGGAGTCTCAGACGGACGCGCTGCTCGATGCGTTGGAGGAGGCCGACAGCCTGCTGGCCTCGCCGCGCCGTGATGACGAGAAGCTGCACAGGAAGCTGGCTCTGGGCGAGTGTCTGCAGCGCATCGGCAAACAGGAGGAGGAGGCCGAGCGCGCCTACGACCAGGAGAAGGTGGCGTTCCTGCGCCAGGCGCGCCAGCTGCTCATCGACAGCTTCCAGGGCGACTCGCCCGTGCTCTCCGCCTCCAGCCTGGTGGTGAGTTCGACGCTGAACCCGCCGCACCGGCGCGCGGCGGCACGGACTCTCTTATTTTCTTAACACTTCTGCCTCTCGCAAATAACTGTCCACTAATTTGGCATAGCTGTGCCAAATAAACCTTAGGGCGTAAGCTTCTTCGCCGATGAAGAGTAGCTACTAGTTAAGAACACCCCTTTGTTCTGTTGTAGTTTGTGTTTGAGAATCGCTTGAGTCGCTAGGCGGATAGGTAGGAAATGACAGGACGTGCAGGGTAACGCCAGTTCTACTAACTGACGACTTGTGAACATGACCAAAGACCAAAATTAGTTAAACGGACTACGAACTTAAAACAAATAATTGTCAGAAATATAAAAGATGCAGCATCGATATTATTTTAAGCAGCCTTTGAAGAAAAAGAGTTTGGCTTAGCACCGACACATGCTGTAAGTAAGAACCACTGTATAGCAAATAATAGGAAATTTGAAGAATTGTATGTAGTTAGGCAGGACGTGGGCAAGACTGGTAAACTTGAGTGGTTATAGGGTTTTCAGCTATGTTTTCATGTCCAGACGCACAAATAAGAGTTAAATGCATCTATTCATCTGAGGCCAGAGGCCAGTTTTACCAACAGAAAAATAGCCGCCTGCCGGAATTGTTTGCCTAAAGACCGCTTCACATACCGCTTCATGTAAGCGCGATGGGGTAGGGCTTTACCGTTTACGCTCCTTAGGTGAAGCGGTCTTTAGGCAAAAAATTCCGGCAGGCGGCTACTTTTCTGTTGGTAGAACTGGCCTCTGGACCCCAAACTACTGGATTGAAGGGAAGATTTTCAGTTCTTTGCAAAAGTTCATCCTCATTTCCATATTTAGATTGAGTCATTATTCGAACAGCTAAAAGCGGCATCAAAAAGAAATACGGAAAAACTAAAGAGGTTTGAAAACAACTCGTCGTCTAGCCAGGCCTGCACGTGAGTGCACACTGCACATTACATGTGACTGCAGTCACGTGCTCATAGTGCTCAATCAACTTCATCATTTGCGAGCCGCTTCTAATATCTCAAAAGCTACGGTGTTTTGACGCGACCGGAGATTGGATCGTTTCTCTCGTTGAGCTTAATGCGAGTTATTATGGGAGCGTGTGGCCTTCTGCCGTAGACGTTGCAATAAGCGGTGGCGACATTCAAGGCCAACGTGTTGAGTAACACGCGTCGGGTCGGGATGCTGTTACAGGATGACGTAAAGGAGGCAGGCGATGAAGCCGAGGACACAGCCGCCGTGCAGGAGAAGGAGGCACTCCAGCTGTCCGAACCGATCAGGATCCTCACCGAAGAGCACGATATGCAAACGGACACCACGCCGTGCGAGGAAACCGCCACACAAACACGAGCTCTGATCGCAAAGAAAATCAAAGCCTTGAAAAAGCAGACCGACCAGCTCGCTCCGAAAATACTCCGCCGAGAGAAGGGCGACTCGAAATCTCCGAAACGATCTCCGAGACGATCCTCGCCAGAGTCAGCCAAGAAGAAGCTGAAGGCGAAGAAGGTGGAAGCCATCACGCCGCAGTACATCAACGCGCGCCTGAAGATCCGTGCGCCGTCGCCGCGCCGCCACCGACTGCCCTGGGAGTCTGCCACCGAGGAGGACGGCGACGACGGCTACACGTCCACCGACCTGTCGCCCGCCCTGCCGCCGCAGCCCAACAACTCGGCCGTCTCGCTGGCCGAGCCATCGGACGTGAGTTGTGCCAGCGCCGCTCCTCGCGTGTCGATGATTGTGTGGCCGGTGTGCCGGACGGCCCAGGGACTGTGGACAGACGGGCGACTGGTGACATTGTTTGCTCAACCAAGACGTGTGTTGACTGAGGATGTTTGGGCGAGTCATGTAAAAATACCACAGAACATCGAATAGCACTCAGAACATAATCAGACAAATTTCTTTCGGATTATTGCTTTCCAGTGTGTTTAGCATATCAAAGTTCATGAGTTTTCACAGCTATGCACTTAAAGATGTTCTGGAAAATAACGGCACAGGCGCTAAGTATCTCTCTTTTGAATATTTCCGTATTTTACAGGACAACATGGGTTTTGAAACTGCTGAGGAAACAGTAAATGAACAAGGAATCAGAGAAAAGAAAGAAAAAGAAAAGGCACGTAAAGTCAGCAAGTCACCAAAACGAACAAAGGCCACCAAAAAGGCAAAAAGCCCTAAGGTCAGTCACTACGTATTACCCGACTCCTATAGATGGATAAAATAGGAGTAAAAACAGAACGATTAATTGTTAAGATAAGGCTTCAGGAAAGCGGCCGTTTTCGGCGCTCTTTATGTATTATTTCATCGTGTATTCGCTGATAGTGGATAGTGGTTAGTGTCATTTATGCATAAATATTTAATGTCCTCATCAATTAGCTTCTCTATGCCGGAGTAGCAGCTTGCCAGTTTGACGTGGCAGCACAGGCTGTTGTGCGACATAATTTCCGAGAAACACGCACGTCACTAATTGGATGTCACTTCAACCTGCCGGCGAGTACTTCCTCCTTAGACTGATTTGAATATTGCGTCATTTGAAACCAGGTCGACGGGTAATTACGGTTCAGAGAGGTGCGACGCGGTTGTAATCGCAGCGAGGAGCCGCGAACCCTCCCGGGGCTTCTCTGACTGGAACGGCCGCGCACCGGGCTCCCCGGGGCACGAGTGGCCGTTTGAAGGTGTCAGTGCGTGTGACGCGCCGTGGTGGGAAGCCGATGTGAATCAGATCGCACGCGGGCGGTGTCTGATTTCAGAGGGCTGAGGACGCAGCTGAGGGCGGCCAGCAGCAGCCGGTAGCACCCGCTGCTCCGGCCGGCCTCGTCCCCGACATCGGGCAGGGCGAGGGAGGCCGGCCCAGACGCCGCCGCTCCAAGACGCAGCGCTCGCAAATGTGAGTGGGGTTAAACTTCCGGAGGCCGGCTCCTGGAGCTGGATTGAGCCTAGGGTTTTTAGTACCTATGTGGCTGTCGTTATGAATTGTTGATGCACCGACTACATACCTTTAGGTAGGATTCTTAAGTTTTCCATGAAATATTAATTTGAAATAAAACGTAACTACGTTATGTAGCCAAGACCTTAGCTTGTAAACGTTTCAGAATGATATCTATGAGTCGGCCTGAAGTGTCCTAATACGGAAACTTGACGTACAGAAACTCAATGATGGCTCATTAGCACTGTAAATGCTAGCCGTAATCGACTCCCAGTAATATGTCATTGCGCTTCGGCGAAGTACAAGAATAGAGGACTCCCACGACGAAATGTACCCGAACAAGCTTATACTGCAGTGAAGTGGGTCGTTAGGCGGTAAGGACCCGGCAGTGACAACGCAAACGCGCCCACGCAGTTAATCGTCCTTCGATCATCCGTAAAGACTGGTCGATCTTAGTCGTAAAAGTACGCTTTCAAGGCCGCGATTCGATACGCTTCCTTCAAAGTGAAAGTAACCGGCTGGCAATTCGGCTGGAAGGAACGTCCACTCATTGACATCCAAATTAGAGCATAAAATAAGCGCCATCGGTCATGTGCTGGCTTTTAGTAGCCGCACTTGGAGCTGCACAGGTTTTAATTGCAAAATGAAGCAAAGTTTTACGGGGGATTTTTGCGAAGACTTAAATCTAAACTCTAATTCCTCGCCGTACATTTATTTCGTGTCGATAAACATGCCTTCAAAAAGAAAAAAGATGCATTCTGCTTTTTTTAAATTTAGTCCGAACCTTTTGATTGGAAGGATTCACAAGGACAGAGCGAAGCGAAGCTTGTTGCGTTGACCCTACCCTCTACCCCCCGATCGCGCAAGTCCGGTTCTATGGCAGAATTCAGAGTCCAAAGTGCGTATGCGTAGTGCGTATATAGCCGCGCACGGCCGGTCCCCTCACTGACTTCGCCTGGTTACGGCCTACCACCAAGCGCAACCATGCCTGTCAGAAGGCACATAAACGTCAAGCACCCGTCGCGCTTCGAACCCGGACTGTTATAACCGGGAACGCGTGCTCTCACCACGCGGAGTCCATGATTCGCTCTACCGACTGAGCAGCATACGGGACCGGCTAATGTGGTGGTGGTGGTTATGTATGGTGAGGCAAGGACGTTTTTTGTTTACTGCGACAACTCTGAACCTAAGAGCAAAGGAAGAGTGAGGTATGTAACTGTACACAATGTCTTCATAATGACCTACACTTGATTTAATAAATCGCTTAAGATCACGTTTTTCTATTAATCGACACAAATTTTCATCTCTTCATTGACAATTATTTTCGATGTACTTTTGAACATCGTCAGTATTCTGTCCAAGAAGTATCCGGTTTCTCCGGAAATACTAAAAATAAACGGTTCTCCACTTGGCACAGCGACTGACTCAGTTGTTTTGGCGAACGAGAGCTATGCATTACGACCGTGAGAACGTGACTTAAGACCTTGAAACTTTGCAGGAGCAATACAAATGCACCAGAAAACTTCACTGCGGAAGGAATGCAGCCTAATCTCGTTAGCTGTCGCGCAGTGTAGGAATGCTCAGTTTCAGCTTTCACTTAGTGTGGCCGCGCCGGCCAGTTGAAGAACAATGTAGAAAACCCGTTAGATGCCTTACCAGAAAATTAGCATATTGCATGCATTCCGACTCGCTGTTCAGCTAAAACAAATCCTGATGTAGCTGGTAGCTTTACAATTTGCTGGAAAGCCATCAAAAACTTCAGTGATTATTCGTGAATCATAGCTGTGAGCCGTATTTAGCAGCCGCACTTCTTTCGATAGGTTATGGGCGAACGACATTTTCCCTTCAAGATAGGCGTTGTAATTTTCTCCTTTTATGCCGACCTTGAGCCTCACAAAGAGCCGCATGATACATTATTCACTCTACATTGGCTGGCATGAATCAAAATCTGCATATGATCCATCACGTGCTGATCATCGGTCACACCCCGCATCACCGCCTATCCACCCGGCAGGAAATCCTCGGGTGCTGCCGCCGCCGAATCCAGCGACGAAGAGGGCGAGCGCCGGCGGCGGGCGGCCGAGCCGCACGGCGACGGCGGCCGGCCGACGCTGAGCCGACGCCGCTCGCCGCGCACCACTGGAGACGGCTCGGCAGCGGTTCCCGAACGGAGAGCCACCGCCCCGGCACGCGGCGCCCGCGCCAAGCACGCCCTCAGCCCGCCGCCGGCCAGTCACGTCTACTGTCTCCCCGTGGTGCCGCAGCCCGCCGATCTGAACGCGGTGGCAGCTGCCGCGGCGGCCGCCGCTGCCGCCGCTCAGTCTGACAGTAAACTGATGCAGGTCGATCTTGAGTTGGGAGCCAAACAGCGTGCTGTGCAGCCGCGGCCCACTAGGCGCAAACGCTGCTCGGGCGGCGGAGACACGATGAGCGTGCAGAGCTTCAACAGCGCCGAGGACGGCCGTGGTCGCGGCGGTCAGGAGCTGGCCAGTCCCCGGCCGGTGAGGCCCGCCGTCCAGCCGCCGGCCGAGCCCGACCTGCACGGCGCCACTGGCGGAGGGCTGGCTGCTGCGGCGCCCGGCTTCCACTGGGAGTCGGGCCACACGCTCTACCAGCCGGAGGCGGCCTCGGGCGCCTCCGGCGCAGCCCCGCGGGACGATCCGTGGCTGTACCGCCTGCAGCAGCAGCGCGATCTGACCCTGGACCTGCCGCCGGCCGACGGCTCGCCCGATGGTGATAAGCAGCAGCCGGCGGGCGGCGAGGACAGCGGGTTCCAGTCGGAGGCGCCGCCGCGCAGTCCGGCCGGCACCATCTATGTGCCACCGCTGCCGCTGCCGCTGCTAACCACCAGCGACGCGTCCGAGGCGGCCTCGCCGCAGCCGCGGCCGAAGTCGGACACGGAGATTGCCAGTTTGGGCACTCCTCGCTCGCCGAGCCGCGGCGGGGCGCGCGTCACTAGTCCCGTTCGTCAGGTGGAGAGATCCTTCTCCTGTGAGGTGCCCACGAAGAAGCAGCGCTGCGCCGAGGAGCCGGCGGCCCAGCCGGTCAGTCCGGGCTCCGGGGACCAGCCTGCAGTAGCGCTGGGACCTCGGCGGTCGTCACTGAAGAGCCGGGACACCGCTCCGGCGGACACAGCTCAGAACCAGGAGACGCCGAGCCCTCCGGCCAGCCCGTCCACCGGCTATACACCGCAGCCGTCCCCGGCGGAACACACGGGCAGTGACGGCTCCGAGTACCGCGACTGCGTGGCGCCGGCGCCGGCCGAGCTGCCGGCCGCCGCTCCCACCGAACCCAGCCCGGCGCCGGCAGACACAGCGGCCACACCGGCCTGCAGCACGGGCCCCGTGTCCCCGACCTCGCCGGCCGCCGAGCCGCCGCAGCCAGCCGCCCCCGCCACCGCCCCCGCCCCCGCTCCGGCCGTGGCGGCGGCTCCGAGCACCTCAAACACGACGCTGCTGCGCCGGGACTACGAGCAGCTGCGGATTGCGCTGGCGGAGCTGAAGGAGCTGCAGACCAGCTTCCAGAAGGTGCGTCATTTGATGAGCTAGTAGGTATCGCTGGTATTTTATCGGAGATACTTTAACTTGCCGATTTCCTTTTGAATTGTTACGGAGCGAGCGAAGCGAGCGGAGTCTTTCCTTAGATTAACGGAAATTTCTGAGTATGAGCGGCCGGCCGGCCGGCCGGCCGTGGGGACGCTCTTCAAAAGCTAATATCTTAGGAACGGGACATCCGATTGACAAGCGGTCTTCTTTACTGAATGTCACTTGGACGTAAAAGTTCTGTGGTGTGATGGCCACCATGCGTTCTTGCCAACCACCGCACGTGGCGCGTGGTAAAGTTGGACATTTTTTAAGAACCCCCAAAATTGCAACCTCAATAACGGCACAACGGCTGGGCCGATTGAATTGAGACTCGGTACACAGTTAGGTCTCCATCAGATAATTCATCTGCATGTGTTAAAGTTGGGGTGCTGCTGCACGTGCGCACGTGCAGGGGTCGTTTCCAGATCTCGAGAACGGCTGGACCGATGGCGCTCAAATTTGGTACACGGTTAGGGACCAGTTAGTAGGGTGCCGTGCACAAGTCAGTTGGGACCCATTTTGCACGTGCGCACGTGCAGGGTGCCGCTTCCAGATCTCGAGAACGGCTGGGCCGATTGTGCTCAAATTTGGCACATCGCTAGAGACCGGTTAGTTGGGTGCCGTGCACAAGTCAGTTGGTGTACCCCCTCGAAATTTCGCACGTGCAAGGCCCACCCTCTCGCTCGCTCCGTTAGTCGCCCCATAAGGCGTTATACTGGTGGATATAAAGACGGCAAGAGCGCAACCAAATAAAGCAATGCTCAAACATTGGAGATATATTAATCGCATTGACACACATAAACTGCATGAAACAAATGCATATTTTATTGTTCCGATTGCTCGCAGCCTTGGACAATGAACAACTTGTGTTTCCGCAGGACTTTGCAGCCAACGAGCATGCGAAGGAGGCCTCCAGCCGTCTGCAGTCGGACATTCAGCGCATGGAGACCAGCATTCAAGATCTACAGGGCATTGTATCGCAGGTAGGCTCCTCACATAGTTTCTGTATGTACATGAAATCCCATTGAAGCTCCGGCGCTTGCGACCCATTGACCTCCCGCATTGATGCTCGACGCACTGACGATTGATGCTCCCGCAGTTAGGCATGAGATTGCAGTGGTAAGCACTGACTTGGCAATAATATGTAGTTCAGCTTGATCTAAGCGTACATACATACATAACAAGACACATTAGACGGTAAACAATGGAGTTACTCTGGAGTATGTGGCGGAGTGATGGAGTCAGTGGCGGGCGGACGTTGACAAGCTTAGCATCTGTCGAAATCGCAAGTAACAGTAGCCCGGGAGTCTGATTAGAGGATCACCACCTCGAGCAGACTCCCCACAGCCTCATATATTGATATGCTCCATTGCCGAGCAGAGCTGGCCATGCTGAACAGATTAGCCGAGCAGCCACTCATTGTGATACCAACTCGAGAAATATGTGTGCTTTATCAATAGCCATGCCTGATCGTTATACGACGTGCCGTAACAAAAGACACACCGCGCGCTTGAGCCAAGTTTGCAGAACTAACAAACAGCCTGTGTGTTATTCAGAAAGGATGCATCCTTGCTAGAATCGAAAGAAATATGGTGTAACACAGAAAAGGCTCTCCGCGGTCTGTTCGCTAGTATTGCTCAATGCTCATACAACACTGCTGCGGCGTCGGTCACAAATACACCACTGTCGATCCACGTGCGACCGAAGCCGTGTCGGGACGAATAAATCACCACCGCCACTAATGCCAGATGACGGATCCGACCACGTGACAGGCAGTCGGCCCGCCGCCGGCGGCCGGATTTGAGCGCTCGTGTTATGGAATGGTCGTCATGACGACAGGTGCGTCAGCGCCGCGGATAAAGGCGTGTTGCGCCTGGTTGGGCGGCTGTAACCCGCGCGGGCGGCGGCCGCTCGCGACTAATCGGAACGGGATCATACACCGGCATAGAGCAGAGGCGGTGACGGAGAAACGGGGCGATATGAGCCTAATGAGGCGCGACACCTTTCAGTGCAGGCTGTCTTTGACTCTTGTTCTCTGAACTCATGCGTTTATCATGTGATTGTGACTGATAAGGGCTGCGCTCCACCAGCTCCGCCGGAAGCGTTCGCAAGACGAAATAAAGATGCTGTTATTTTTTCAGAATATCATAAAATCACTTCTTATATGATTTATCAGGCTCAAAGAGCTTGCAAGCGGCGTGCTTAAAGTTAAATACACGTCGCGGATATATGCTGAACAGTGGACAGAGAGACCTCTTTCTGGATGACCTCTTTCGGTCTTCATCTTTCAGGAGTACGAACAAACGCGCCAGGACCACGAGGAGACCCGCGCGGCCATTGAGCAGATCGAGACTCGGGTCCAGGAGAGCGAACGAGTCACCCAGTCGCAGCTGAACGAGCTGCGCGCGCGGCTCGAGCAGATCACCGACAAGATGACTCGCCTTGAGGGCGACGTCAGTCGGGAGAAGGTGAGTGTCGCCACTCAACATGTGTTGGTGGGTGTGGTCGGCTGGGGTTCTCTGAAGTTTTACATGTTTTATATGATGGCTTCGGGAGAGGAGCGACAAACGGCACTGTATCACGTCGATCTGCCCATGGGCAGATTGCACCCCTCACACATCCTCCAATGCAGGAAGTTTCAGTTTAGTTCGGAAGTTTCTGACGGTTATTTCATTCGCCCTTGAACTTGCAAACTATTTTTCCTATCACCACGTAGCATCTAAATTGTGTTTCCTATACACCTCACGAGCTCCCGCTAGTTCAGTCAAGGCTTTGAAGTCTCTTCCGACTTTTCATACGAATTTTATACATCATCCGATCCGATCTCATCATACCTATAAAAGACATTTTCCCAGCGCTTTCTTCTTGCTAGGTATGGTAACTTTTCATAACATTTATTATAACAAGTCACAAGGTCTGCACGTGCCATGCTAGATATGCGACGTCACTCATTCCGATTCTAATAACTAGGATGAAGGGGAGTGTCGCTCGGTACAAGTCTCATGAATCTTCAGTGATGACTAATAAGCTTAGATGGCACGCTCTTGAAAACATGCACTGTACATAATGCAAAGTACCGCGGCGGAAATTACCCCTTCTCAGATTAGATATGCTAATAAAATGGTTTGACCTGAGTTCATCAACATAATCATTGACGGATCGCTATTTAAGGAAGTGGTTACCCGGGGTCAATACTAAAATCAACTTCGTTAAAGGGACCCTCCCACCTTCAAAAAAGTTAATGAATTGGCATGAAAGTGATGTCGCTCGGTTCAGAAAGAGCAAAAATGAATATCTACTAAATTTCATCGAAAAATATTCACCGGTTTTCAAGATATTAGACTTTAACTTTTGTTTACTTTTTGGGATCTCCGCTGTTCCTAGCGACTTTATTTGAAAGTGCGGCATTTGTTGCGCGCAAAGCAGCATATACCACCGCGTGCTGCCAAACGTTTTAGTAAAAGATTTAAAAATCGTTAGATCTCCGCTGACGTCACAAATTCTAAGGGGGCATACCAATGCATTAGCCCCTTAGAATCCGAAAACTGCAAGTTTGAAATTCCATATCTCCGAATTAAAGCATTTTTCGATGTTGTGAATGCCCAAACCGGTATTTTCAGGCCATGGCCACCAATTTGGCTATCTCAACTCAAAACTAATGTTAAGGTGGGAGGGTCCCTTTAAGTGACTTTAGCTGTCAGGTGTTGCCCACACCCTGAAACAAGCTTCGAGCATTGTTTCAGCGAGGCAAGATGTCAGAAGAGAAATTTTATTAATGTTTTAATTTGCACATCAGCTTAGCGGCCTGCATTTACTCATCTTGCTGTTAGTGGGTCAAGTGCCTGTTGACGGCAGGCTAAGCCTGAATGAACACAAGAAGTAATATAGATTTCGACACAAAAGGCGGTCCATCTGCGCTTAACCCGGCCGGGCCCGGGGGGTAATCCCAACCACCGCAGCCCGGGGGGGGGCGTTTTTCGCCCCCCCCCCCCTGTCTAACTCCGTAAATAAGGGAGCTACGGAAACAAAAGCGATACCAAACGAAAGGTCCTTACGAGACGATTCTAATGCACCTAACATTTTTGACCTCAGGTCAATTTTCAAGGTCAGAGGTCAAGGTCAAAGGCAAAAACAGCCACATGTGTAGTGATCTCAAAGTAAGCCTTCTAGAGGACGGCAGGCTGCATCAAACCGGCAAAATTGGCTGTCAAACGAAAGAAGAGAATCTGAGGATTCTGAAAATGTGCTCAAAGTGAAAGGTCAAGGTCAAGGTCACGCTCAAAATTGACCTCAAACTTGGCACTTTTTCGCATATCTTGCGTGCTAACTTCCAAGATGTTTTGAAATGTTTTGAGGCTTATCAGTGCCCTATTTGTGGTTCATCTTACGATACAAGGCTGCTCAAAGGTCAAGGTCACAGAAGAGTATCCCTGCTAGAGGCTATTTCACTGATTCAAGTTAGTAATAATAAATAAGACAATTTTGCAATCCGGAAGCTCTAAATGAAGGCTTAGAGGAAAATAGATGCCAGATTCGTGATCAGCGGGTACAAATCCATCATAAACGACCTTTCATGTGTCAAGGTCAACCAGAGGTCATTCGAGGTCACATGAGGTCAACATAAAATTTGACCTTTTCCGAACAAAATATATATCATTCGACGCGGCTTGACAAGGCGAATGCGATGGTACCACTGCCGTAGCTCCAGGACCATTTTTGTCGAAGTTATTTGCGAAAAACTAAAACCACATTTCGGGGTCGTTGACCTGACCTCTGACCTCAGGTCACCAAAACTATTTTTTCTATTTTTTTCTATGTCAAACGCTACACAACCGTGCTCGTAATTTGTCTTTATCTCTAAAACTCTATTTTTAGCAGCTATTTGAAGTTTGCGTCTGTGACGCCGAAGTTTGCCGTGCAGGGGTCTAGAAAAATGGACCTTGTGACGTCATCAAGGGGGCTAGGTCCAAATTTTTTACTTCAGAAGATGTCAAATTGATGGGAGAAAAGGTACTGAAAGTTTCGCCTTCCTATCCCTAAGCGTTCGGGAGCTATCGCAAATATTCGCCAGGGGGGGGGGCGAAAAACGCCCCCCCGGGCCCGCGAGGGTTAAAGATCTCAACAATGGGTTAAATGAAAGCATGAAAATGTCGTAGTTTCTATTGGATAACGCGAAATTTTCAGATTTTCCTCTCCGACATCTCGTAGGATGTTCGCGTTCACTTTATTAGCACAAAAATACGCCCGGTTATATATGACAAGATATAACCGGTTTTTCCGCGACACAACGAGCGTCTTCTTTGGGGCGGCCCCGGAGCCGGGCCGGCCTCTGCGAGCAGCGTTCGGCGGCAGGCGGGCGGCCGCCTGCGCCCCCGGGCGGCAAGGCCGCTAAGGCGGCGGCCTCATCTGATTGGTGGAGCGACTTGTGTCACGTGACGGTGACGGCGCGGGGTTTGAGTGCATTTGCGCGGTCACTCTGTTCTAAGCCGCCCGGTCTGACGCAAGTCAGCAGTGTTCTCGCTCTGAAATGTTTTTGCGTTTTACTGCGGTCGTGTTCAGTGGAAGCTGGAAGACATCAAGGGGAGTATAAGTTCGGTTTTATATCAATGTTATATTGATTGACGAGCATGTTTTTTCCTTTCGGGGTTTTTATGTTTATTTTTTACTGGTTTGTTGTTTCTGTCTTATTTTTTCATTTTCGGCATGAGGTCTGGTTTTTTGTGTTTATGTTATGCTATCACGGTAAGAGAGGGTCGATGAGCAATGGGTCGGCAAATGCCCGGTATTATAGGTTCTTTGAAGGTTAGATGAAACAACGAAACTTGGACTGCTGGTAGAAATAGGCTTGGTGTGTTTCAGATTTTGGGAGATTGGGTGTAGGTATTTGCTAGGTGTAACATAGCTGTAACTGTTTTTTGTTTCTTCCCTGGAACGGAGCGCCGGACTTTGCCATTCTACACTCCGTGTGAGTGGAATCAGCTCATGCTTTCTCGGTGTAGCAGCTCAGAGTGCACGGCCTGGCCGGCGTAGGGTTTGGTGGCCACGTGGTGTTGGCCGGTGGTTGTGCAGAGAGTTGGTATAATTGCCGTTTTGTGGTGCCTGGTGTTGGTTGAACTGTGGTTCCCATACAGGTGAACGGTTACTGGCGTAAGGTGTGCCAGGTGGGCGTACCCCGTGGAGAATGAGCTGCTGGTGATGTTGGCTCTGTCCGAGCGTGTCCGAGCGGGGTTTTCATTAGTGGGACGGCCTTGAGTGGGTTAGGGATTGTTGATAACAAGGGTACCAACTACCGGGTGAGACTTGAGAGGGTAAATGGAGTTCATGCTAAGGATAACCAATGCAATGGCATTGGTCTAAGTTGGTATTGTTATCTGGTGTTGATAGGTTGGAATGAAAGGTTTAGTGGGTGATACATGGAGGTACAGAGGTGATACAGTGGAACCCAGTTTGGGTGTGATAAGTCTCGGCGGACTAGGATATTATGGATTAGATGGGGAATTATATAAGATGGTTTTGGGATGCATTAGCGATAGCATAGTAAGTTACAGGCTATTACCCAGAGGAAGTTTTCACACCCATGTTTAAAGGCTGCAGTAGGTAGGCATGCCATTTTCTAGGATGCAATTTTAGGGTAGCCCATGATTGTGTGGCTCTCGCTCTGCATTGAGGTACGAGTGAACTGTGTTTCGTTTTTTTATGGTAGTGGCGTTTGTAAATAGTTTTTTTTTTTTGCCAGAGTGAGGTGCCTTTCTTGTCGTTGGCCAATAGAGCCTTGCCTAGACATGCATAAGCGACAATCATCATAGTAATATTGGTATGCAATATGCATATCCTGCCGATATGTCATCACACGCATTGTGAGATAAATGGCCCCGGTATACGAGACCCCCTTTTGATACGAGATTTCGGCTAAAAATGGTTGTGACACAATCTGTTTTTTTTTCTTCTTCCATGGCTTGGTGGTTGGCATCCGACTCTGAACGGCGACGGATCGGCACACTCGGCGGGGCCGGCCCGCTTTGCCAGAGTCTTCTCTGGCCGCTGAAGGATTCCTTCACAGCTCCTGTGTCAGCTGAGGGAGTTCCGACCCCTCCCAGCTCATCTAGCTCCAGTGGTGCTGCCTAGCAGGTCTTACGGGACATCGTCAGGTATAGGCCAAGGTGGCCGGGGTTTTGAAAGGTACGTTATTCCATGTACGGGGCCCGGTATACATATCTGTTAATGAAGGTTCTAGGGGACCCGATAGGGTGGATTGTGAACGCTTGGGCATGGGCGATATCGGCATTTTTGAGGGGATGTTTGGTTCCACCAATAGGGACATGAGGGCAATGCTGGTGGAAAGTGAGATACTATGATAGTAATAAAATTATGATAAAATCGTTAGGCGAAGCCCGAAGATAAAAAATGAATCTATAGCAAGTCCAACGTAAGACGTGTTTTCAACCTTGGTTTGCTGCTGCTGCTGAGG